AGATGATACGGTAGTGGTCAAAATTATAAAACACTCCCAAATCTCATGTATTACGCGGTTAGATTTTGGGCTTGTACGCAATCATTAATGTTTAAATCATAAAGTAATGACATGAAACTTTTTTCTTTATATAATGTTTTCATAAAATTAAAAGAATCCGCTTATTTTACATTAGTTCCATTTGCAACTAAATTTTTACTTACATTTTCGTTAAAAATGTTATTTTTCCAAATACAGCAAATTTCAGTCAAGTCATTTACAAGCAAATTTTGAGAATATTTAAGCAAGGTAGAATTAGATATTTTTGGTAATTTACTGTCAAAAAATTTAATTTTTTTCAATATACTAGGTAAGAATCACATGAAAACCTATATTTTATGTTATTTCAACTAATTTATTTAGAAACATAATCGGACCAACTCTTCTCTAATCGACCAAAACGAGTGAGATGCACGAGTAGTCAGATATATAATAACAATCGTCTTGCCGCAAAAGTGTAGAAAGGCGATGGTTCTAAAATGGTTTGGGGCTACTTGTTAGGAAAAAGAAATGAGGAATTGCATTTTATACAAGGTACAGTAAATAATGACAAATACATTCAAAATATAGAGAATTATATACTTACTTCTAAAAATAAGATTTTTAGAAGACTCAAAATTTTGTATTACCAGAAAAATAGCGCTCCATGTCTCACATTCAAGAAAACTCCGAAATAGATGAGTGATAATCGAATTACTCCAGAAAGGCTTTGATTACATTTTTTGGGGGGTTGAAAAAATATGACTAATATTTACTTTGTCTTGTGCCATTAAATTTTGTTCACTATATTCTACGTGCATACATTCATCTAAATAATTGTCGGGACATTTGTGAATATCACTCAAATTATTAAATGCAATTATCTTTTGAATGTATATTTTTTTTTCTCTATTATATTCTATTATATATTCTATTTTATAATCTAACCCAATTTTTTATTTCTTCATAATTATATGTCTTGATTTCTTCATCAAAAATTATTATTTCATGCTTTATAATTTTTTTATGTTTTAGTTGCTACATGTACTTACTTCAATATCATTTTCTGGAAAATTTACCTTTTTCTTTTTTTAAAACTTGATGACATAATTTCAGGTATTCAAAATACCTATCAAACAAACTGTCATACTAAATATAAACGCTTCCATAACCGCCTTCTAACCCCCTTATCAAATACTTATCTTCTTTAACCCTACAAAATAACCTCCTCGTTATTTAAAAAGATCATGGTGCGGAACCCTTCTTAAAAATCCTTAAAACAGGAAAAAAAGACTCTACTCAGTAGGAATGTAACCACTAGGTTACTTCTTCTCGAATTATTCAATGTGATAAGTTTAAATCGAAAAAAGACTATAGTTCACGTTCATATTGTATATAAAATATAAAAAAAAACAAATTTAAATAATATAATTTGTGTATTTATATTACAAAAACACAATTCAATACATAATATTATTTTTGCTCGAAAATTATCATTTGTTACAATTATAATTTTTTAATGAGCAGTTTATATAAATAGTGCAACAAGTTTCGAGGGTATAAAGAATCAATATTTCTTTATAATGTTAATATAAATATACATCGTTAGTTGCTATGCGACATTACTGTAGTGCATAATTTGATACATTAGCTATTTTTACGACGGGTATTATTAATAATGACAACGTATTCGGCATCAAAAAAGTTATTAGTAAAAATCCCTGATTGTAAAAATTATCCACAAGATGTTCCATTACCCTTAGAAAGACACATATGCACTGAGAATATGAAGAAACCTAAAAAAAATCTTATGAACCTTAGAGAAAAAAGAATATACATTCAAAGGATAATTGCATTGAATAATTTGAGTGATATTCACAAATGTCCCGACAATTATTTAGATGAATGTATGCACGTAGAATATAATGAAAAAAATTTAATGGCACAAGACAAAGTAAATATTATTCATATTTTTTTAATCCCCCAAAAAATGTAATCAAAGCTTTTACTTAAAAAAATAAATAGTGAAAATATCAGGTAAATATATTTTTAAAGAATGAATCTGAAAAAAATGAATTGGAGAAAACGATAAATTTTCTAAATGACCAATTATCTCTCCTAAAAATTGAAACAGAAGATGAATTTTACAAGATTAATCAATTCAATAAACAATTAGAGGAACAAAAACACTTGTCGAGAATAATAGACCAACTGACAAATCGTATAGAAAAATGTGCAGATGATGAATCCCGCAATGTTTGCGAGAATTTTTTATCTGAAACAAAAAAAAATTGTAAATTTTTTGTAAATAAAATAATTACTGACCATCAAATTATTCAAGCAATGCTGAAAGTTATTAAAGATGATATTAAAGACGTAAAATTTTTTATGAAAAAATAATAAATTATCTATATCAAAATTGTCATTCTTAGTTGAACTAAGTTTATATAACTTTTAATTAATTCAATTAAAACAAATACTAATAAATTTCAACTAAAATAATATTAATATTAAGAAATTTATTTATTTTTCACTTATTTAAATAGTATTTATTTCTCGATTAATTAGAAGTTTTTTTTCTTTTGGTCCATCTCTTTACTTTACAAGAACTTAAATTTTTAAGGGTAATCAAAATAACCATTTATTAACACATGTTTCAAACCAGTCCCTTTATAATTTATTAACTACGCCCACATCAGAGATTCTATCACAATTTACCAATCACAAATAATTATCCAACATCTCAGGAATTTCAATAGAGTTGGCTTACTGTATCCAGCATATAAAAAGCCATTTTTTTCGTAAAAACGCGGCTTTTTCACTTTCTGAAAACTTTATCAAGGCCAACATTCTCTTACATAGAATCTGCGTCAGTATAAGTAAATATTTTGTCCCTAAGACTTAGTTTTTTTTTTCTTTATATCATCCTAAATGGTAAACATTGTTTTAAATGATTTATTAATATTTTACCAAGAAATAAGTTTTATTTATTTTTACAATTTCCTAATATCCTTACAATAAATAAATATAGTTTCTATTTTATATAATTTTTTTTAAATATTATTGCACCCATCATTTATGAACAGCCTTAAATGTGCCAAACTAAGTGAAGAAGCGTAATTTGTGATTAGTATTAATTAGTTTTAGTAGAAGAAGTACTTTATGCCTGTGTACCCGCCAGCCTGAAAGGGACTATGCCAATTATCTTCCGGTAAAGTGCAGGCAGTTAAGGTAGTACTAAATTTATTAAGAATATTTTTGAAGTGCGCTATATCCATTAACAAGGCAGTTTAATAGCTAGTAGTCCGGATAGAGTTCATTATAAAATATATAGTTTGTAAGATAGGAAACTATATCTTGAAAATATCCTCTGCGTGAATCCGTTAGCCATAAAGGACTATGCCAAATTACCTTTTGGTAAAGTGCAGATAGTTGACGTAAAGGATATTAAAAGGTGTATTGAAATAATATTTAATACATACGAGGCACGTCCAGAAAGTAAGTGTACTGGTACTCTCATAGCTGTAGGGAATACTTTTTCGGCATGTTAGTAACACTGCCACGTAGCCTGACTCCTCCCCTTCAAAATGAAATCAATCCGAGGTTAGTGTGTTGAAAACTCTTGACGCAGTAGCATTTATCGCAAAAAATGTCAATCGTATCTCCCGCCAAGGGTGAAATTCGTGCCATCATTCGCTATCTCGTTGCGAAGGAAAAAAGCTCCGGTTGAAATTAATAATGAGGTGAAAACTGTTTACGGTAATAGAGCTATGAATCGTACGAGTATGTACAAGTGGTGTGGCGAGTTTTAAAATGGCCGACCGTAAATGTACAAGATTTGCAAAAACTAATCATAATTGCATAAATGTTTTTATAGAGATGCCAAAATTGTTTGCCAATTTTATGACTCCATACATTACACAGCCACCCATTGTATCCATTGAAGCTTGTCAACTTCACAAAAATTGATCCTCTAATCAAGGCACGAGAAACTTAAAATATAGACTATAGGAGAAGTATAACCGAGGAATGACTAATGATAAAAAATAGTAGTAGCTACACTTCAACAAAATAGTAAATAATAAAAATGCAATATAATCTATTAGTTATCATATTATCTTTGTTCAAGTTTCATTAATCCTTTATCCATACCACCTCAAATTTTGCTTAAGTTCATATCACGAACAATTATATCCTATGGCACAAATCTCATGTTAAAAATATTTATGGATGTGTGATTTTAACTTTTAAGTTCATATGTCGCGCGAGGTCTCTTAATCGTAATGAATTTTTATTATGAGTATAATATGAATTTTTCTTACACAATATATAACACGTATGTTATAATAGGTAACTATGATGAAAAACAGTTACTCTTTTCAATTTTATTATGCATTCAATATAATTTACGAAAAATTCATATGACTATAAATAAGTAATTAGTTTTAGTCCATTTTATTTTACAATAATGTCTTTTTAATTTTAAATGCTTTTTAGATAACACAACTATGGTCAATCGTAACCAACTGAATAACATTGAATATGGTACTAATTCAGTATTGCGTGCCAGACTAGAACAAATGGGGGTTAATTTGGAGACACTCTATGATAAAATAACTAAATATGACAAAGCTAAGACAGAAATTAAAAATTTACAATGCAAATTAGCTAGCAAACAAAAAACTATGGTTGAATCATGGTATACACAAAGACAGTTATTTTCCAAATTAACAATAGCATTCGATGATATGATGGTAGAATACAAACGTTACAAGACAAGAGCAGACAAATTACATAATGAAAATAAATCTATAAGTGATGCTATACACCAAAAAAAAGAAAAAGAGTTCCAACTGTTTCTAAAAATCAATCAATTAGAGTGCACCAAAGAAACTGTTCTCATTTCTAGAAATGAAATACGAAATCAATTATTGAAAGAAGAAGTAAACAAATGCTTATAAGATTTAATGATAAAATTGTGATTGAATTTTTGGAAACATTCTGATAGCCGTTGAAACATTTTGAAAATTTAAAAAAAAATTGGGGTTTCTTTTATTTAATTCAAGTTTTGCTTATTTAAATTCTATTTAATTTATGGACTTAATAATCTTAGTTATTGTATCCAATTCAGTGAAATAAAATTATGATACCCTACCTAAAGGAAACCTCATATATGATTATTTTGATTAAAATAAAATAAAATAATTTTCATCCCTTAGGAAGCCATTACCATGTTGGAAAAATTAAAAATAGAAACTCAACATATACTTCAATGTAAAACAGATGAACTACATAAACTCAAGCAATATGCCGCTGACTCAGCTATGGAAATACTATTCGATACCAATAAATTTGACGAATTGTCAAGAGAAGTGAAAGATTTAGAACAAGATATATGTGAAGCCAGATCTTTAAATCAAAAAAGAGTAAGTGAATTATTTGCATTCAAAGCTTTAGAAACAGAACGACTGGAAAAATCAGAAAAACATGTTAATGCGGTACACAAAGATGTGTTTGAAATCACTGATACTATAACAAAAAATGCTAAAAAAATTCAAGAACTTAATAATTATTACAGACAGTTAGAGTTATCCTATTTAAAAGAACGAAATTCTTCACAAGAAATTATTGAAAAATTAGATACTGATTTTAAAAAATTATCAAAAGATCTGTCATTATCTTCTAAGCTCTTAACGATTGCACAACTAAACAGTAATAGTCTTGCTAACGAAAAAGATTCAATGAGTAAAAATATTGGGAAATTAACAGGTGAAATCAATCGGTTAGAAGAGAAACTCCGCGATGGACGTGCCAAGTTATCTATAGAACAGGCAAAGTATGATACTTTATCGATGGTAATGGCTACTCAGTTATCAACGACTGAAAGAAAAGTTGTAGAAACATCATCTGAATTAAACGAACTAAAACAGCTAAAAAACAAATATGAATTGACTATTAATAAATTGATAGAGGTTAAAAATAATTCAAATAGTTAAATTCACCAAACTAAATTTTTGTTTAAATTTTATAAATATTAAATAATTTTAAAAACTTTCGTTATTTCAGCTTTGATAAATAGCTAAAAAGCAATTGGTTCTACTTTGTTGTGGTTTTTTTGTGTGTATCATTAAACACAATTACTCTGAACCTATTAGACAAATTGTTTTCAATAGTAAACCAAAAGATCACAAAAAGTAACTAGTTGAAGCTATCAAAATAATTTTGAAAAAATTCTTCTCAAACTCCGTAATAAAGAGAAATTATAATTGTTATAAAATGTTCAATGTTTATATTTTTAGTTATCATTTTATATTAATTTAACCTTTCAAGAATTGGATAGATTTCGAAATAATAACTGACAATATTAGACATTTACTTTCCTAGGGGCGTTTTTTTTTTAAACGAATCATTAATGAAGGTACTGCAAGGGTTTGAATATCATGTCGAAATTTTTTTTAGTTTAAATTTTTAATAATTAAAAGAGACATTTGTTGAGTCTAGACACAAAAGAGAGCGTTTCGATATTTTTTTTTTTTTGTTGGTAAATTTGGGAACACCGAAACTACGACCGGTTGTTTCTTTGAAAAAAGGCAAAGATGACGACGAACACACATATTCCTTTTAGATTCACCCGAGTGCAATTTTGCCCTACATGGGTTTTTAATGTTATTGTTTTTAATTTTTGATGCCGCCATCTTTCGTTGCGTAAAATTATTACTTTTAGCTATCCAGGCCATGTATCATTCCATTATTCAACCAGCCATCAGATGGTTCATCATTATTATTTGTTTTAAAGTTAGTTATTTATTAATTTTATTGATTTGTTATTTGTGCCTCGTGGCAATTAGTTGTTAAGTAATATTCATCAATATTTTTTCATATAAGTTTGTGCTCGTTGTAAGTATCATCTCTTAGCATACAGTCCATTTCATTATAATTTCCAATCTGTACATCTCTTTGCTACGATAAAATTAGTAGAATCACGTACATAACCATTTCCAATTGGAATATCTAAATTTCGGACGCCGCACAGTGGAATGAAACGCCGATTTAGGCGGCCAAAAGTATCATTTTTTAAAAGTCACTTAAATTTTTTTTTTTTAGCAAAACACATTAATATCATACTTAAGGGTTTTAATACAAATTTTCAAGGGCATATGTTGATTTAGTGAAGGTGTAGAGCTATTTTAATGTTATACTTCTAAAATTTATCCGTATTTTCAGTTATTTTGAGTTTATTTTTGTACATTTTTTTTTATGCCTTAAAACATAATTTAAAATTAAAAAAATTTTTTATTCCTATTAAAAAAGATATCCTTTTTCAAATGAAAAAGAAAAAAAAAGATTTTTTTTATTTTTGTGGAATTAAACATATTTATACTTAAAAAAAAATCGAATTTTTTCGTTTTTTTCTCTAGTTTGCTCGTTTAAAGAGATTAACTAAAAATTACGCAAAATTACACGTTAATCCATACATTTGGCTTGTAGAGCAAGTCATTAGCTATACTATGAAAAAAAAAAATTTTGCGCTCGATAATTTTTGAACTGTACATACTGCATTTACCTAGAATAAACGAGTATTTTCCTAAAAATCTTATGTTTTACAAGATTTTTACTCTATAAATAAAATTAGTCATTATTTATTATTAATTGTTATACGATTACATTGATATATAAATATGAATATTTTAGTTTTATACATTTAAAAAATAATTATGCCATTGATAAATTCATGTCTGAAAATGAATCATTTAATTGACTATTTAATTCATCTTCTTTATAGTTGTCATCATTATGAGGGAATATTACTAACATCTTACCATATTCTGATAACTCGTTTAAATGCACTTGCTTATTTCTATCAGTACTAGAAATGTAAGGATCCGATGAGATAAGAAGAATGTGAATTAAATCCTCATTAGTATTTAAGCGCGAATTCTTTCTGGTGTGATGTTCTCGGTACATTTTATAATCTTGATTGAGACTCTCTTGTGCCTCCTCAGAGACGGTGCTCATATTATTCAATATGCGCCACTTCCTACAGGTAATATATTACAAAAGATTATAGTTACTACAATAAAAAATATCAACATTTATTTTAGGCAACTTATTCTATAACTTAGAATATGGTAAGATGTTAGTAATATTCCCTCATAATGATGACAACTATAAAGAAGATGAATTAAATAGTCAATTAAATGATTCATTTTCAGACATGAATTTATCAATGGCATAATTATTTTTTAAATGTATAAAACTAAAATATTCATATTTATATATCAATGTAATCGTATAACAATTAATAATAAATAATGACTAATTTTATTTATAGAGTAAAAATCTTGTAAAACATAAGATTTTTAGGAAAATATTCGTTTATTCTAGGTAAATGCAGTATGTACAGTTCAAAAATTATCGAGCGCAAAATTTTTTTTTTTCATAGTATAGCTAATGACTTGCTCTACAAGCCACATGTATGGATTAACGTGTAATTTTGCGTAATTTTTAGTTAATCTCTTTAAACGAGCAAACTAGAGAAAAAAACGAAAAAATTCGATTTTTTTTTAAGTATAAATATGTTTAATTCCACAAAAATAAAAAAAATCTTTTTTTTTCTTTTTCATTTGAAAAAGGATATCTTTTTTAATAGGAATAAAAAATTTTTTTAATTTTAAATTATGTTTTAAGGCAATAAAAAAAATGTACAAAAATAAACTCAAAATAACTGAAAATACGGATAAATTTTAGAAGTATAACATTAAAATAGCTCTACACCTTCACCAAATCAACTTATGCCCTTGAAAATTTGTATTAAAACCCTTAAGTATGATATTAATGTGTTTTGCTAAAAAAAAAAATTTAAGTGACTTTTAAAAAATGATACTTTTGGCCGCCTAAATCGGCGTTTCATTTCACTGTGCGGCAGGTTATACAATATGAATTCTCTAAGCCTCCATTTATTTAAAGCTAATACTATATACTCTTTAAGACGAAAAAATAAAAACTATCCGAATACTATATTCTATACTATCAATGGAATAGATCTACTCCATTTACAACAAATTTTAAGTTAAATTGTTATATGTGTCATATGTTTCTCTCCTATGATATTATTATCCTAACGGAAACTTGGCTATCTCCTGACATTTCAGACTCTGAACTAGGATTACATAATTTCATTATTTTCAGGCTTGATAGAAATATCAACAGCAGTAACCTTTCTCGTGGTGGTGGAGTTCTCATTGCAGTAAAATGCTCGATTCCCTCATCCCCCATTACAATAATTAATTCAAGCGTAGAACATATTTTTGTCCTTCTCACAATTAACCACTCTACTCTCCTAATTGGATGCACATACTTACCTCCATCTAGTCCGTTACCAATTATTGAATCCCATCTTGCATCAATCGAACAACTGCTATCTAATCACCAGCCAGATGAAATTATTATCTGCGGTGATTATAACATGCCAGGTATTTCATGGGCATCTGATGAGTTTGGCCTTTCAGCAAGTGGCAATTTTACCCCAACCTCCACTCTAATTATTGATTCTTTCTCCTTCTTAAACTTTTATCAATTCAACCATACTACTAATTGTACAGGCAACATCCTCGATTTAGTCCTATCCACTTCTAAGAACTTGTCAGTCGACAAAGCCACTTCGCCTCTCATCAAACCCGATCTTTACCATCCTCCTTTATGTATCCTGTACCATTATCCCAAACCACCTAAACTAAATACTACACATTCTTATTTTGACTTTAAAATCGGTGACTATTCCTCTATTTCTAAATTCATTGACTCATTTAATTGGGAGACCACTTTTTCGCTCTACTCTATTAACGATGCCGCCACTGTTTTCAACGATGCTCTACTTAACGCTATTCAGAATTTCATTCCAAAAAAAACCTTCAGAAACCCGAAATTTCCCCGTTGGGTATCACCTACTCTAAAGTCCTTAATAATCAAAAAAAAATATGCTCATAAACAGTTTAAAAAAACAAATCTTCCTTCTGACTATTCTGTTTTCTCTCATCTACGAGCCAAATGTAAACAACTATCCCTTAGTAATTACCGTTCTTACATCAGTAACACTGAGCGCTCTCTCTCAACTAACCCCTCCTTATTCTGGAAATATACCAGAGACCTCAAACAACATTCACAAATCCCTTCCACCGTCCATCTTTTTGATGAAGTATCAAATTCACCCTTGAAAAATGCCAATCTCTTTTCTAAATTCTTCTCCTCGGTTTTTAAACCTCCAAATACTTTCTCCACTTCCATTTCTACTCCTCAAGTTACCAAAAATTACCAATTTAATCTTCCATCAAACTGTTCTTTTTCAATATTTGATGTACATTATGCTCTTGAATCCTTAAAAAACAACCACTCCAATGGTCCTGATAATATTTCGGCCCAGTTACTTTATAGATGTCGTGACTCCCTAGCACAACCACTTTTTTTCCTCTTTCAACGTTCCCTAAATGAGGGAGTTTTTCCTACTGTCTGGAAAACTTGCTCTATTACACCAATCCTTAAATCCGGTGATCCATCCGACATTACTAACTACAGGCCTATATCCATTCTCCCTCATATAGCTAAAATTTTTGAGTCCCTGGTTTTTACCTCCATCAAAAGAAATGTTAATCATCTCCTCAGTGACAACCAACATGGCTTTCGTCCTAGGAAATCATCAGTAACTAGCAGTCTCGTCTTTTCTACCTATATCCTAGATAATATTGAATCCGGCTCACAAGTTGACGTGATATTTACTGATTTCAAAAAAGCCTTTGATACCGTTGATCACGGCACTCTAATTAAAATATTACATAACCTTGGTTTTGGCAATCCACTACTTGCATGGTTGTCATCTTATATAGACTCCAGAAGGCAATTTGTCTCGATCAATGGTATGATTTCTGATCTTTGCATCATTCCTTCTGGTGTTCCTCAAGGTGGTCATCTCAGCCCACTCTTGTTCACCCTCTATGTCAACTCCCTTTCCGATTTACTACTTAACTCTAAAGTACTTCTTTTTGCCGATGACATTAAACTTTTTCTTAACATAAATTCACCATCTGACTGTTTACTCCTTCAATCCGACCTCGACACTTTCTCCAATTGGGCCATGGAGCTCAACCTATCTCTTAATACCAGCAAATGCCACATAATGTCGTTCTCCCGCAAATTCTCCCCCTTACACCACTCCTACTTCCTCCAAGGCTCACTTCTCAACCGTGTTTCCGTTATCAAAGACCTCGGTATTTATTACACTCCTACTCTTTCCTTTGAATTCCATATGAATAATATTATTGGTAGAGCCCTAAAAGTATTAGGCTTTATTAAAAGAAACACTTCTAACTTCTCCTCTCCTTCCTGTCTCCGTGTCCTCTATCTTTCCTTGGTCCGATCTATACTAGAGTATGGTGTTGTGGTATGGCACCCTTACCTCACTAAAGACATTATAAGAATGGAAAGAGTGCAAAATAAATTCCTTTCTTACGCTGCCTTCCTTTTGAAAATAAATCATACTCCTCATGACTACTCCACTATTCGCACCGCTATCCGACTTCCTTCCTTAGCCTCCCGCAGAGAAGATGCTGACATCTCATTCATAAAATCCCTTCTCAATGGTTCCATTGATTCTCCTGAACTTCTATCCAAAATATACTTTCGTGTCCCTTCCTTTAACACAAGAAACCACTCCCTTTTCAAACTTCCCTTTCATTCCACCTCATATGGCCAAAACCACCCACTACACAGAATACTTAGACGACTTGATGAGTTTAGTCTAGACCCATTTTGTGTTTAGTTATAATTCTACGCTGCTAATTAAAATAATTTATATTGTACATAGTATTAATGTCTTGTTGTATATATTCAAATTTAGCTTTTAACGTTTTTAGTTTGTAGTACTTGTTGCCGTATCAAAATAATTAACCTTACATTTAATGTTTGCTTCCTTTTGTAAAATTGCCTGTTTAGGCGTTAGAAAATAAAATAAAATAAAAAAAATTTACAATTTTTTTTATCATATACTATACTATTAAAAAAAGAAAGACTTTTTAGTAACTTGTCCTGTACAATTAGACGATTTTATAAATAAAAAATCATGTAATTTTGGGTAAATATGATAGATTATTCTAATTTTATCAAGTATACATAAAAGCGTTTTACAGACAGTGATTAATATATCACTGTCTGACATTAATCATTACTAATCTAAAAATCATCTCACTTCACTACGCTAGATCCAGACTGTATTTAACTTTTTTCAATTTATTTAATACATTAAAAATATATGTATATCATTAATAAATTTTCTCTAGAAACGTTTTGTAAGAAATAAACAACACATTCAATCCAAATTTGAGTTAAAATACTAGGATTTATAAATTTTCATGAATACTTAAATGCTTCTTTAAATCAAATATATATTAAAATCAGTCATTTAAAAGCTATTTAAGCCATTTAGCTAAAAAATCTTCCAGGAAGTTAATTGTTAATAAATATTAATAGAAAATAATATGAAAACAGGTACTTGTTGCCAGAATAATGTAATAGAAAGTTGCAAGCATCTTATAGATAGTGAGCATCCATTATGCCCTTTACCACAGAAATATACAAAATATACACAACCACAACACTATTCTGGAAAAGTTAGCACTGCATTACTTCAAGCTATTCAATCATTGAGCGAAGAAGCGACTTTACAACATTTTTACAAATTGGTTGCTCCATATACGTGTGACAAAGGGGTTTTACTTATGCGACTCACTAACGATATGCTGTCTGATTTTCGATCGTTTGTTAGCGACGTCTTTAATAATCGAGTGACTCAGATTGGTATGGTATTAGCTCGAGAACAAATAACAATAGAACGTAAGTATGCGGAATTAGAATCTAGAACATTAAATAGAGCGCAACTCGCTCTTATGCATATTCGAGATTCAATGCCGACGTTTGATTGGAATCGGTATGAAAAAGATCCTAATTACATCAAGTCATTAATTCTTCAAGCTTTCTGTCCAGATCATGCAACTGAGGAAGACGAAGAAGAAGATGCCAAGGCAAAAGGACTTCTATATCAACTTAACTGGTTGCGATCTGAGATTGATCGAGCTGATTGTGAAAATCATGGTCTCTATGAACAACATAGCGCATTAGTTGCTGAATTGGCAGCAATAAATAAAAAAATAGCAGACATTCAGTGTCAAGCTGCAGGTGAAATGGCCGAATTAGCGGCTAAACTTAATAAATATAGAAATGAATCAGCTGAACAAGTAGCCACCATTGATAAATTAATGGAAACTATACAAATCTCTATGCAGAATACAAAAATTGAATCGCCTTGTACTTAATACAAAATTATTTAAATTTAACTAATTTTTAAATACAAACATTTATTATTTATAAGGTGTTTAACCTTTCTATAAGAGAATTACAACTTCAAGATTTTTTATTACTATTATTTTAACACAAAAAAAATCTGTTATATCGATGGTCACAACAAAGAGTGTTATAACATGATATTTAGCTATTTGGATTCAATAACAATAAAACTCAGTCCTTTAATTTCTCTATCACTTATGACAATAATTTTAACGAAAATTGGTCTATGAATAGATGACAACTTTAGGACCAGTATTTTGGATATTATTTTCATTTTTATACCTAAGCTGTATGAAAAGTACGACCGCAATATAACTATTTATATATATGAACTTTGAACTTCTGAAATACTGTTCGAAAAATTGTTATCGACCAGTCATTTTCTTAATTATATTATATCTTATTTTATAAGATTATTAAATATGTATTTTGCCCTTTAAAAAAATTAAGTTGACACCCCTTTAGTATAAGGGATGGTTCTAAAAAATAATTTGCAATATTTATTATCATTATGTTAAAATGTACAACATTTTTAGTCACTTTTGTTGAAATTATTTGTATCAATATATAGCGAATTAATGTGTTCATTTTTTCCGACAGTATGGTTGATCTTGTTTATTTTTAGGGTGTCTTCGGGCTCTTGCAATTTCATTTAAAGCAGATGATGGACATGTGCTCTGTTGACGTTGACAATTAACAGACGAGGTAACTGGTGAAGGGGCACATTGAAATTTTTCTGGTTCGTCTAGTTCTATGATACCAAATATTTTTTTTCTAAAGTTTTGTATCTCCCGCGTAATATTTCGCTCTAATAACGGGTCAATTTCGTATTCGATAGGAGGTGCTTTTGCCCAGTACTTACATAATTCGATCATGATATGATCTAGCATTTCATAGTCAATTTCATGTCGTGCAAGATTGAGTGCAGCGAAAGAGCCACGCATTCTTCGCCGCATTTCTACCCAATCTGGTTCCTCATCAGGATCAGCCATCGCTATTTCTTCCATTTCCTTTTGTAACCTACATCTCTCGACTGCAGCATTCTCATCTTCATAGTTACAATTTGAAGAATCAACTAACTTTCTTTTCACATTAATTACCTCGTTGGCCTCATCAATTAATTCACACATATTAATAACCTGTAAATTTTTATTATTATTTATGATAATTAATGTTATGAGGAAATTAAGTTCTGAATCGTGTTAACTTTTATGATATTTAATATATGTTTTTTAAAGAATCCAATGCCAATATAAAGGATTACATATCAATCGAATTACTTCAATCAGCCAAAATTAAATTCGATAAAAGGATTTACTTTTTCTTCATCACCATCTAATTCTGTTAAGTCTGGATCACTTTTTCCGCAAGTTTTCAGTTGTTCCTTGCGCTCTTCACGTTTTTTATCAAAGGCTGATCTATGACGAAGAATTTCTGCCCAAATCGTAATCCTTACTTCCTCATCACCTTCCAGCCATTCATTTTTATACTGCCAATAATCGTCATGATGATTACATTGATAATACAATAAACTCCATTCTCGAATCACCGTAGGAAACCATGTTTCATCATAGTACTTTCCCAGCACCCAGAAAAGCCCGGTACAAATTGGCTTTGCAGTCTTCCACTCAGTGGTGCAATCAAAACCTGGAATATCTGGTTCATAGTCTGGCGATGGAGCAGGATAGATAAGGCGTTTTCTAAGCCTCTGGCATTTACCCGTTCCCTCGTATTCCCAAACCTCACGTGGTGGTTTCTTAACAGCCCAACATGGTATATAATGATGAGATTGTTTTGACTTTAACGGAAGTAATTGTGATGTTCCTCGTGCCCCTTCACAAGTGTTCCACGCCATTTTTTAAAATTTTTAACTTATCGAAAATTAAAAAAAATATTTAAAGTAATAAATTTTTTTTTCATTTCTAATTTATTTAATTTTTGTATCTACTACATTAATCAAAATTTTAATATGTTGAATAAATATAAATAGCCAACTATTTAAGGATAGTTTTGAAGGATATTTACACTTAATGCTACCTTAGTTACAACTTATAATAGTTCAAGGGAAAATTAAAAAAAAATACTTGCTGAACTCTCATAACAATCAACATACAATTATTTTGAGTTTTTAGCTAAATTTTTAAAAATAATTTAGAAGTGATTTTCATGGTCCCGCGTCGTTTTGTGATACACGGAACTCCGCAACCTGCACCACCTTTGTTAGCTATAGTCTACTACGTGTATATACACGTAGTAGACTATACTCTCTTCTTTTTCGTCGACATAAACGCGAATCAATTACATTTTTATAGCGGAAATTTGTTTTTTGCGACATTATAATTATTCTTATTTAATTTTAAACAATAAAAGACTATCCGCCAATCACGTGTACAACTTGCGTGTCGTCTACATTTACGTATCAGATCTTAAAGTAAATGTACTAAAAATATTTGTGAAAAACAAAATGGAACTTACAATTATTCTCATTTTATTTTAAAACACTAATTCAAAATAAAAAGTGAAAATATTCACAAAAATTATATTTATTTGTATACTAGCAAATCTAGTTTTCATGATAAATTTTTAACAGATTTAAAGCTAAAACTTAATTCCAATAGTAATGAAAAATGTAAAACATTTTAAACAGTTCAACCTTACTTTTGTATTTAATATGAAAAATGGGTTTTCTTAATTATAATACAAACTACTTGAATTATTCCCTTATAGTTTTAGTAAAATAAAATATAGTTTAACTGTCAGTATTGAGTACTACATTATTTTTAGAATATAAAATTTATTTAGTCTTGTTTTATTTCATTTTGTTTTTATTTACATAAAATATTTTTACAAAATTGACCTAAATTATAATTAAATATTTTTATATTCACAAATGTTTTAATAGACTTTTAGTAAAAATTTTCGATGTTCAATTCCTAATCTATTTTTGGCTACACATTTATAAATTCCTTCATGTGATAAGTTTACTTCTTTTATAAGAATTTGTTGTTTTTCATTTAGAAATTCTACATTTTTCAAAGTCCAAATTGTAATAGGATAAACCATTCCATCTCTTGTCCAAAATATCTGAAACATAACATAATAGTAAAAAATGTATTATAATAATTTGACATGTGAAAAAACTAGCGATTGGAAAAAATAATTTTTTTTGTTATAGCATGGTCCATTGTATATTGAAATCATTTTAGCAGTATTCTGGGTATTAGTTGTACATTTAAATAATATTTATTGATTGCCTAAAAAAAAAAAACGGTAGCACAGTGGGGTCGAGGCACAGTGTAAACAAGGCATAGATGGGACAAGTATAGATGATATTTGACAGTGATTAAAATCACTATCATAAGAAACGCTTCGATGCAAATCTGTAGATAGAGTTTCATTTAGAGAAATTGGTGGATTATTCCAAAAGCAACATCAACTCTTATTTCTTTGATTATATCCTAATTAGTAGTTCTTTGATTTTAAAATATAATATATGAATAAATACTAATTATAATTATTAAATTTAGTATGAAAATAAAAAAATAAAAAAAATTTAATAAGTTTAATTTCTTATCAAACGAAAGGAAATTATCTAAAGTTTCAATATAAAAAAATATTATTTTGATTTGTTAATATTTGAAAAAGTTATAGCAGTTTTAAGTACAAAAAACATCCTTATAGAAGGTGATTTTTATCGAAAATATTACATTTTTTTTTAAATTTTGACAGCAATTAGCACATAGTAGATAGGTCATCGGTACAAATTTTTTTTTTTATTTTANCATAGAAGATAAGATGTCGGGACAAATTTTTTTTTTTCATTTGATAGTATATAACATAACCTTTGATTTTATATATGTTTAAAGGACGCAGTATTTCCGGAACATTTTCAAAAGTTCAGTTGAAAAAGATCTATGTTTTTTACAATATTTTAAGTTTTGAACGCCCCCTATATAAGGGGAAATTGTCCAATTTTAATAAAAAGTATGTCAAATGAAAGACGTACTTATAATGTATATAGAAAATAAAAATTTGTGCTGATAATTACATTTTTCGAAAAGTTATAGCACTTTTAAGTTGAAAATTTAAAATCGAAAATCGAAAATTTTAACACAAAAATAGTGTTTTTTTAACTACGGTAGCCGTTTACATGCAGAAAATAAAGTGTCGGGACAAATTTTTTTTTTCATTTTGTAGTACATAAAATAAGTTTTTTAACTATTACATACAAAACTTTTTTACATATTGAGTTACACAAAATTTTAATATTATATAATATAACTTAATTTTTAAAGGATCAAAAAATTAAACGAATTCTCTTATAAGAGAAATTTTAACTACATTGTCCGAGACACTGTATGGTAATATAATAAGTAAATTTAACCACTAAATATAATTAAAACGTGACAACAAGAGGAAAAAATTACTTCAAAAATTTATTGATTTAAAATTTTTTTTATCGACGAAATGATAATTGTATACAAAGTTATAAGCATTATTAGTAAAATCTGAGTACCTCGTATATAAAGATTGTAAATATTTCTTTATATTAGAGCTAAACAATTATAAATCACAGTCTCATAAAAAATGAAATGAGATTATTTTTTAAATATTTATTTGATGAACATTTTAAAAATAGTCTCTAAATATTTCCGAAAAAATATGACTTAGTTTACTTCTTGTACACGGATTTAAGTGTAAACAATAAATAACTGGCAGTTTCCATCAAGTTTTTTTTGTTTAATTAAAATTTAAATTTAAAAACAGTGAGGTGGCGGCACAGTGGGGTCGNGCACAGTGGGGTGGCGGCACAGTGGGGTCGTTGCATAGTTGGGTCCAGTATAGATGATATCTGACAGTGATTAAAATCACTATCATAAAAAACGCTTCGATGCAAATCTGTAGATAGAGTTTCATTTATAAAAAAAAAAATTTGTTAAAATAGCATATTTTTGAATACGGAAGCCTTTTGCACATAGAAGATAGAGGTCGTCGGGACAAATTTTTTTTTTTATTTTATATTATATGAAATAAGCTTTAATTTGATATATGTTTAAAGGACGCAGTATTTCCGGAACATTTTCAAAAATTAAGTTGAAAAAGTTAGTTTTTGTAAAAAAGTTGCTATTTTAAATCCCCCCTGTGAGCAGAATAAGTGTTAGATTTTCAAAAAAAAATGATATCAAATGAAAGAAAATTACCTAAGGTTTCAATATAAAGAAATATTATTTTGATTAGTTAATATTTGAAAAAGTTATGGCAGTTTTAAGTACAAAAAACATCGTTATAAAAGGTGATTTTTATCGCAAATATTACATTTTTTTTATAATTTCGACAGCCATTTGCACATAGAAGATAAGGTGTCGGGACAAATTTTTTTTTTTCATTTTATAGTACATAAAATAAGCTTTAATTTGATATATGTTTAAAGGACGCAGTATTTCCGGAACATTTTCAAAAATTAAGTGAAAAAGTTAGATTTTGTAAAAAAGTTGCTATTTTGAATCCCCTCCAATGAGCAGGTTAAGTGTTAGATTTTCAAAAAAAATTATATCAAATGAAAGGGAAATATCTAAGGTTTCAATACAAAAAAATATTATTTTTATTTGTTCATTTTTGAAAAAGTTATGGCAGTTTTAAGTACAAAAAACATCCCGATAAAAGATGATTTTTATCGCAAACATTACATTTTTTTTTAATTTTCGACAGCCCTTTGCACATAGAAGATAAGATGTCGGGACAAATTTTTTTTTTTCATTTAATAGTATATAACATAACCTTTGATTTGATATATGTTTAAAGGACGCAGTATTTCCGGAACATTTTCAAAAGTTCAGTTGAAAAAGTTCTATTTTTTATACAATGTTTCAAAGTTTGAACCCCCCCTATATAAGGGGAAATTGTCTAATTTTAATAAAAAGTATGTCAAATGGAAGATGTACTTATAATGTATTTAGAAAAAAAAAA